TTCCATCTACTCTGAGCCTTCAAATCTTATGATATTTTCATAACTTGTGCAGGGTCACTGAAAACATTTATAATGTAGATTTGATACCAGGTTGTGTGTCTGGGGGGAAAAAAACACCCAGTCTAACAACATGTCTTAATAATGTTCAGCATAGTGTGGCTTTTGAGCATAGAAAAAACAGATTTGTTTAGAAAAAGTTATTTGAGTGTTGTGTGTGGAAATGGAAGTTTGATTTCAATGAGGGAGGCTAATGTCCCCATACAGAATTTTGAGCCCTGAAAATCATCAAAGGCACATTTTGTTGTTAAATATCCACAGATATTACATTAGGGAGCATCAGCAGGATTTGACCCACAATATATTATTTTATCTTTCTCAACTTTATATTCCCCCTTGTAATATTTTCAACAATCATATGTGAAAGTTATCTCATGCAAAATTTGATTGTAATTCTACATAGTACATGAAAAATTGATTTAAAAAAGACATTTTCCATGGCTTCGCTGAGGCCTGGAGACTTTCTTCCATGCATGTAATGATTGCATTTGGTGGGGATCCAGTCCTATGATAGTAATTTACTGCAGAAAGGACAGAGTGTGGAGAACTTAAGTCCTATTCTTTCAACTGTCTGAGGTGTGTGTGTGTGTGGGGGGGGTACTTTTAAGAAAGTTTACTTAAATGGCTCAAAACCTGTTTTTATTGTTTTTTGTTTTGTTTGTTTTGTTTGTTTTTCAAGACAGGGCTTCTCTGTGGCTTTGGAGCGCGTCCTGGAATTAGCTCTTGTAGACCAGGCTGGCCTTGAACTCACAGAGATCCTCCTGCCTCTGCCTCTGGGATTAAAGGAGTATGCCACCACCGCCCAGCTCAAAACCGGTCTTAATGATGATCAACTACTCATGTATTGTTCTATTAAGATCAAAACTGGACAAGTTTAGAGCTGTATTTTAGGGAAACATGGACAGTTTTTAATAACAAGTGCATAAGTGAGATATGGTAACATTATATTGATAATATTAAAATTTTATTTAAAACTTTATCTAAGATTCCATATCTCTTTATAGAATTGGCATCCTTATATGAAAATATATGCAAAAGATTGGAATAGATTTATATATTTTTGAATTTAGAAACTCACATGTTGCTTCACTGGCAAAGCTAGATATGTGTTCAACTCAGAGTAATTTCCATAATGTCAGAGTTTTATTTTCACCTCCTCATGGTGCTATTTAACTTAAGAGTTCTTTTCAAAGAGCTTCATCAAATTTCTGTTCTGAGGTTCACATCACTCAGGGCTCAATTTTCTGTTTGATTTCCCTCTGCCATTATTAACATGTGTTGATTTCATTTTCTTTGTCCTAATCATTTCTTCCTAAGAGTCTCACACAGCATTTTTGTATTCCAAAGGGCCCCAATCCCTGCTGCTTTCAACATCAACTTAATTTGAGAGGTCTTTCATGTGGATGTGGCTTGCCATCATCAAGGGCAACTCGTTTGTTAATTAACAGCGATTTAGCACACTGGTCCAGCATGTTGCCAAGATCAGGGTGTTTTCTTTTCTTTCCTTCTTTCTTTCAAAAAAAAAAAACTCAAGTGGGAATTCTCAGTGGGAACTATTTTTGTATTCCAAACTTCGGAAGGATGTTTTGATTTGCCCCCATGGGTAGATCTGTTTTCTGGACCTTGGTTTTGTTTCGTAGCTTTCAGTGTCTGGATTCATTTCCAGGCCTGGGGGATAAATCACATAGGGGAAAGACAGGGGCTTGAAGCTACTTATAAACAACCTGCTCAGAAAGTCCGGTTTCGTCCCATGCTTATTCAGTCCCAGTCCTGCTGGCCTTGGTGAGCTCCCAATAGATCAGTTCCACTGTCACAGTGGGTGGGTGCACCCCTCGTGGTCCTGACTTCCTTTCTCATATTCTCCCTCCTTCTGCTCCTCATTTGGATCTTAAGAGCTCAGTCCGGTGCTCCAATTTGGGTCTCTGTCTCTATCTTGATCCATCACCAGATGAAGGTTCTAAGGTGATATGCAAGATATTCATTAGTATGGCTATAGGATAGGGTCATTTCAGGTTCCCTCTCCTCAGTTGCCCAAGGTACTAGCTGGGGACATCTCCCTGGATTCCTGCGAGCCCCTCTAGAATCAAGTCGCTTGCCAACCCTAAGATGGTTCCCTTAATTAGGATATATATTTCTCTGCTCCTGTATCCATCCTTCCTTTATCCTAACCATCCCATTACCTCAAGCTCCCCCCATCCTCCCCTTCTCACGTTTCTCACCCCATTTCCCCTTAGCCCAATGCCACCTCACCCCCAAGTTCCCAGTTTTTGCCGGGCAATCTTGTCTACTTTCCATATCCAGGCGGATGACTATATGTTTTTCTTTGGGTTCACCTTCTTACTTAGCTTCTCTAGGATCACAAATTATATGCTCAATGTCCTTTATTTATGGCTAGAAACCAATTATGAGTGAGTACATCCCTTGTTCATCTTTTTGGGTCTGGGATACCTCACTCAGGAAGCCAAGGACAATGGCACTAGGTTTCGATCCTAATACATGAACTGGCTTTGTGGGAGCCTAGCCTGTTTGGATGCTCACCTTCCTGGACCTGGATAGAAGTGGGAGGACCTTGGACTTTCCGCAGGGCAGGGCATCTGGACTGCTCTTCATTCTCGAGAAGGAGGGGGAATGGAGTGGGGGTAGGGGAGAGAGGGAGGGGAGTGGGGGAGGGAGCGATGTGTGGGAGGAGGGGGAGGGAAATAGGAAACAGGGAGGAGGCAGAATTTTTTTTCAACAACTAAAAACATAAACAAAAAATAAAAAAAAATAAATCACATTTGACAATAAAATAACAAAAAATAAATAAATAAAGAACCGCTCTTGACAGAACAGGCTGCAAGGACAGACAACCTCCACTCTCCCATGGTCTGTATACTGTTGAGTACTGCAGTAAAGGTTGGCCAGCTACATCTGGGCTGCTGAATAATATGGCAGGCCTCAGTGGCATTGGTATACTTCTCTGGAATACTTCATGACTCCAGTTCATCCAACATCTGGATGGAGGGTTTCTGACTATTTTCACTGCTGATATTTTAACTTATTTTTAGTTTATAAACTTTATTGCTAAAAATTTTTCAAATAAATAAAAATTTCACATACCCAAATTAATCAGACCCAAAGTCTATACAGTTCAATGAGCTTCTATAGTGTTACAAGGGGCATCTGGTCAAAAGCTATGGGGCTTCACAATAAATTTTGTACTTTCAGTATTGAATATATTTTATGGACTTAGCCTCCAGCAAAACCAAAAAAAAATCCACAGCAAAACTAGAACTAGACAAAAAAATCCACTTTATAGCTTCTGGTATCTGCATTTTGGTCTTTATAGTTCTGTAACATTAGCTATTTACGCCGGGCGGTGGTGGCGCACGCCTTTAATCCCAGCACTCGGGAGGTAGAGGCAGGCGGATCTCTGTGAGTTGGAGACCAGCCTGGTCTACAAGAGCTAGTTCCAGGACGGGTTCCAAAACCACAGAGAAACCCTGTCTCGGAAAAAAAAAAAAAAACCATTAGCTATTTACAAGTTCAAGGGCAGCCTAGGCTATGGATTGAGTTTAAGGTTAGCCTGGGCAAATTATTGAAACCATGACTCAAAATGAAAAGGTAGGTAGAAAGGGGCTGGGATATCGCTTAGTGGTGGCACAGTTTTGTAGCATACAGAAGACCTCAGATTTAATCTCTGGTTCTGACATTTAAAAGAAGAAGAAAAGTAAAAGGAAACAAGAGAAAAAGAAAATTTGTGATTGGTGGAGTGTGGGAGTCCTGAGTTTCTGTGTGGGAGGCCCTTGGATGTTTTCCCAGGACACGGTAGCAAGACCTTATTCTTCCTGACTGTGCCTCATGGCTGCACTTCAACACATAAGTCATCTCTTTTCTGGGCCAACACAAGCCTCTATGATCTGGATCCCTCTGGAGACAAGAGATTGGTGTGGGGCTGTGGAGAGAGATGCGGAATGTCATCTCTTTCATGCAGGGCAACCTAATTTGCAGCCAAGATGGTCATGGATACTTTTCTTCACTGTAGAAAAAGTGTAAAAAAAAAGTTGGTAAAAGGTGAAGCTTGCTATCTAGCTTAAAAGAATTATGTTAAAAGAGAGCATTTTTTAATTAAACAGACATGGGTGTGGTAAAGTTGAAGATTTTATAATATAAAGTGTGACTACATTCTTCTGCAGAAGTAGAACATGGATAGACCAACACTAAGCCAGCCTCTGGCTCCCTTCCACAATCTTCCTTCTAATTTTTAACTTCTTATGATGATTTTATGCATATGAGTGTTTTGCCTGCATGTATATATGTAAACCCTAAGTGTACCTGGTACTTGTAGAGGCTAGAAGAGGGTATCAGATCACCCAGAATTGGAGTCACAGACAGTTGTGGGCTGCCATGTGAGTGCTGGGAACCAAACCCAAGTCCTTAGCAAGAGCAAAAGTGCTCTTCACCATTGAGCCTCCTTTCTAGCTCCAGAATCTTCCTCCTTATGTTAATGTTCAGTTCATTTTTTATTGTTTACAGAATTTTTCAAAGTATATTACTTCTTCACCATTTATTAGTGCACACAGAAGTCAGAGGAAAATTTGTGGAATGTCGTCTCTTCTTCTGCCATGTGGTTCCCTAGGATTGAACTCAGGTCGTGAGGCTTGGTGGCAGATGTCTTTACTCTATGAACAGTGTTTCTGCCCCAAAGAATTTAAACAAACTTATTTGCTCCCTATTGCCTGTCTGTATTATGGTGTATTTTTATTCTTCCTTTACAAACACTTGTTTCAGTTTAGAAGGTCTGCATTTTTTAAACATAAGACTGAAAACCCTTTGACATGAATCACAAGCTTAAGAAGTTCCAGAAAGCCTGGCATGATTCCGTTCTGCGTGCCTGTTTTGAGGAGCAGCAGGCAGAACCCTCCATCCAACTTCTCTGCCACCGAAGAACGCGCCTTCACCTCATGGAAGACTCCATGGACATGGACATGAGTCCTCCAAGGCCTCAGAACTACCTTTTCGGCTGTGAACTAAAAGCCGACAAAGATTATCACTTTAAGGTGGATAATGATGAGAACGAGAACCAGTTATCACTAAGAATGGTTAGTTTAGGTGCTGGGGCAAAAGACAAATTACACATCATAGAGCCAGAAGCAATGAACTATGAAGGCAGTCCAATTAAAGTAACACTGGCAACTTTGAAAATGTCTGTACAGCCAACAGTTTCTCTTGGGGGATTTGAAATAATACCTCCTGTGTTCTTAAGATTGAAGTGTGGTTCTGGGCCTGTGCACATTAGTGGACAGCATCTAGTAGCTGTAGAGGAAGATGCAGAGTCAGAAGATGAAGATGAGGAGGATGTAAAGCTGTTGAGTATGGCTGGAAAGCGATCTGCTCCTGGAGGTGGCAATAAGGTTCCACAGAAAAAAGTAAAACTTGATGAGGATGATGATGAAGATGATGAAGATGATGAGGATGATGAAGATGATGACGACGATGATTTTGATGATGAGGAAGCTGAAGAAAAAGTTCCAGTGAAGAAATCTGTACGAGATACCCCAGCCAAAAATGCACAAAAATCAAACCAAAATGGAAAAGACTTAAAACCATCAACACCAAGATCAAAGGGTCAAGAGTCCTTCAAAAAACAGGAAAAAACCCCTAAAGCACAAAAAGGACCTAGTTCTGCAGAAGACATTAAGGCAAAAATGCAAGCAAGTATAGAAAAAGTGCATTGAACATTCCTGGGTGCTACTGGTAAATTAAGCCCAAAGATGGGGAAAGAGGAAAAGCAGAAACAAATATAGTCCATACTGAGTACCATCAACAGTCCAGACTGAAGTCTTCTATTTAATCTCAATCCCCTTTCCTGATTGGCCATCCATTCACCCTTGCACGCTGGAAGCAATCTCTTGTTTTCCTAGAGCATTTTTCTTTCACTCTTGTGATGCAGAGAACTTTACTGCTTTCTATACTTGTGCATATGCCTCATCTCTTACCATGTTTTAATACCTGGGTATCCTTAGCTGTTCAATAAATTTTTTGAATAAACCAAATAAGGATTAATGTGAAAAAAAAAGTAGTTCCAGAAAAAGGCAGTTAGGATTTCTTGGAGAAGGGGGTTGGGGAGAGGGAGAAGAGAGAGAGAGAGAGACAGAGAGAGAGAGAGAGAGAGAGAGAGAGAGAGAGAGACAGAGAGACAGAGAAAAACTGTGCCTATGGGTGTTTGGGTACCTAGAGAGGGGGAGACAAGGAAGACAGGGAGTCTGGTTGATGTCATCCAGTGATCTTTCTGCCTTCTGTGTCCTCCTCACTGGATGGTGCTGCCCAGTTCTTGGGGGGGGGGGATACATATGTGGTTTTAATTGGCTTGTTACCATCATTTCAAGCTATGTGTCCTGCCTGGCTGGACCTTAATGAGGCATATCCACTGCTAGACTCAGGCAATGGCAGCTTCTCCAGCAGCCTTTGCCAAGGCGCTGGGTACTGTGGATGCCAATAAAAACACGTTTTCCAGAGATGATCTTCCAGCATGCAAATGATCCTTTTCCCAAGGGAAGCTTTAAAAAGAGAAAGCTGCTTTTCTCCCCACACTAAGCCATGTTTATCCCCACTTATTTGTGGCATTTTTTTGTGGATCACAAAAGTTAAGACTTAGAGTTAATTACCCTGCTTAGTCATTTCACAGTGCAAACAATGCCACACTGCCAAGTTATAGTCCATAAATATATGCTCTTACTGTTTGTCAGTAATTTGTTCAAAATAAAAACACAAAAAGACTTACTAAACCCATTAACATGTACCAGTCACTTGTTACGAATAATTTTATTAAAGCAAAGTGTCCCATCAAGGGCTGTGGTGTATATGTATGTGTTGTATGTACGTCACAGTTATTTCAGGCAAGGAAAGTGATGTTTTAAGTTCAAGGAACTCCAACAAATAATATAGAAAGCCAGATGTGAAGAAAATTTTTTTTTCTTTGCTTTTTCGAGACAGGGTTTCTCTGTGGTTTTTGGAGCCCGTCCTGGAACTAGCTCTTGTAGACCAGGCTGGTCTCAACATCTGCCTGCCTCTGCCTCCCAAGTGCTGGGATTAAAGGCGTGCGCCACCACCACCAGGCTTAAAGACAAAATTTGAAGTGCAGTTTGGGTCACCTGTGGCTGGTCCTAAGTATGACTCCACCCAATTGGTAGAAGATCTTTCTCTTGACACCTTGACTTGAGGGCTTTTGTTAGAGAGTTTCCAAGGAACTTTCTTCAAGAACAGGCAATTGCTGATGTTCTGATTTCTCTGTCAACCCCTGAAATCTTGTTCAGTCTGCACAGGTTATTTGAAATACTTCCTTTGTGAGTTGAAGGGATTCGGGGGAGACACTAGCTTTGTATTACTCCCCATATTGTAATGTCTCAAACTTGTCTTTTTCTCTGAATGCATTTGAATGATTCCAGTTGCATCGCAATGGAAAGCCCATAACAGATCTCTTCTGGACAATTGTAAGGCAGTATCAGGGCCACTAAACACAATTATAAATATGAGGCAGCAAACATTTATGAGTTCTGACGCTCTTCTTCACGGTGTACTCTTAGAATTGTTTCTCCTGACACTGGTGACACAGAGGAAAATTCTTTCTGTTGGAAGTTTCTGCCCGTGTAAGGGTTGGTTAGAGGTGAAATGTGTTTTCAGAATTACAGTCATTCTCTTTTACGATACCAGCTTCCAAAATAAAGTTTTTGGCTTTCTAGATTCTCTTTACAGCAAGATGATGACCAAAGTTTGGTTCTGAATCATGAGAGTCTAAAAGAGAACCGTTTACGAGGGGATAAGAAAACTGAAATGGAAGAAAAAGAATAACATTTCAGGTTGAAAAAGAACATGAAAGAAATAGTTTAGGAAGTTATCCAAACTTTGACATTCTTGAGGGCTAGCACATTCAAACCAAAGAATAAAATTTGCTGGCCCCATGGTTCAACTCATCATGGATGTGTAAAGAGGAGGCAAGGCGAGTGGGGTGGGCAGGTCAAGTCCTTGAGATATTTTCTTCTGTGATATCTGACCTCTCTTTGACAGGTATTATCATCTCCATTCCCCCTCCCCACTGGGAGAAAGTGCCGAGAAGGGAATGAGAGGTGAATGGAATGAAAAGGATAAGATGGATGAATAGCGAAAGAGGCCAGACTCCCTGACAGAAGGGGAAGAGGTCCAAACCCAGGCCTTTGGTTTTTCTCCAGGAACCTAAAAATATCCACCCTTTGCCTGCCTGACATTTCCACTGCCTTTTCTTACACATGCTCCATGAGTCCTGCTGATGGGACTTAACTCAAGCCTAGCCTGCTCTTTCCTGCTGTGAAAAAGAAACCAGTCAGTTTGAAAATCAGGATAAAAGATGCAAACCTTCAAAGTGGCTGACACTGAGCTGTCTTCCCTGACTAACCCAGCATCCCTGCATTAATTCCAGCACCCTGTTATACCTGCATGTAAGAATTTCTAATTAACATGAATATTTCCCTTATGTCTTCTTATCTATGTCTTCCTTCGATTGCCTTTTCTTGTCCCCTTTTTTCCTCTTTCCTTCCTTTCTTTCTATCACTTCTCTAACACACTCCCACTGATACTGGGAGTCTATCTCAGAGTCACACTTTGACAGTTCTAGTCCAGGCTCGTGTGTCCCTAACTTAAATGGTCATGTGAGTAACTTGTGGATCCTTTTGAAATGGTGTGTTCTGACTGAGAAGATGATCCTGTTGACTGATGCAAGATACTGAGTGTTTATAGACAACAACACTTAGATTTCTCCTGCACTTGGAATTAACCCATTTTATTATTATTAAAGACCATTCTGGAAGCTGTTAACCCAGAGATATATTTGGCTAAATAGATTCAGGAATTTTGTTTCTTCTCCCACTCTTGCTGAAAGTCAGGCTACAGAGAAGTACATCCAGGCACATCCAAATGCATCCTTCATTTTCTCAGGTATATTACTTAGCCTCTCTAAGCTCCTCCTGAAAATGAAGATGGAAGTGACAGTCTTTTTAAGTGGCTGTGCAGGGGCCTTAGTTCAAAAGTTAGCATGGGTCAGAACAAAGGGGACTAGAGATATCACCTGAATATGCTTTTGGTACTTCTTATCCCATTTGGCATGCCTGGATTCAATGAGAAGACACACAAACATTTCCAATCCTTCCATAATGCTTAGAAAATATTTGTTTCAAGTGCAGCAAAGAACATCAGGAAATTTTCAACATGTTCACGAGTGCCTGGGTGTGCTTGTGAAAAATTGTACCCGTGCCACTGCAAAGATTTAGAATTTTGGTACTGTGTTTGTAAAGGATTTATCATGGGGATTCCATGTGACAGCATGACCTAGGACAGTCATGGCTTCCATTTCCTGTGCCTTGGGATTTTAATCAATGGAGCTTATCCTCTGGGCATAAGAGCAAAAGTGACATCACCTTCTGGTTATATGGCAACTAGTCTCCCCGGAAGCTATGGGGGAGGATATGGATTCAGTAGGAGAGAAAAGTCAAATTTCAACTTAAAATTCATAAAGAAAAAGCACAAAGGGACCATTTAGCATGTATAAGTGTTTGAGCAATTTAGCACATGAGTGATGAAATGATAACTGGTTATATTGTTTTTACCGAAAGCTTAAGAAAATTGATTTTTCAATCTGCAGTCATCAAGAGTCCTTATAAAAAAATTTAGATATCCAAGCAAACTAATTACGAAACAAAATTAGATGTGGGATTGTCAGGTTATCTTAATTTTACCTGGCAAGAATATACATGTGTTGATACAGGTTAGCGTCTGAAGCATTGGAGTGTTAAGTCCTGTTCATGCCTATGTCTCCTGGCCCCCATCTCCCCATGAGATTTCTTCTGCATGAGAAGATTTCCCCAGGATGTAGCAGATCTGTTTTCTATGAGGCAATAAAGCCCAGCAACATGCACAGCTGCTGATGCTTGGCTGTAGCCACAGGAGTCTTGGGATCCAGTTTTATGGCTCTGCCTTCCCCCACACCCTAACTATCAATAGCTACCAATGTGGTCTGGGGCATGGCATTGGCCACAGCAACTCAAACTACTTCACATCAGAGAACCAACCACTTAGAATCACTGCCCCCGTGACACTGAACTACTGGTCAAGAAAGAAGAAAGTCTGGGAAGAAAGGGGAATATTTTGAAGTTTTAAGAACAAATCAGAAATTTAAGGCAAGATATTCTGTTAGGAAACCAGAGGGAGTGATGGAAAGCCCTATACTTTGCAAGAAGTTATTAGGAATGTTTGTGGTGTCAGTTACAGGTTTGGGGAACGCATTGTGGATGGAATTGGGAGAACAGCCACCTGTATTTTGTCTGTTACTTTCTATATTAAATATCTCTCCCCTCTTTTTTTCTTTCTCTCATGTTCTGTCTCACACATGCTTATAATATTTAAATACATACAATAAGCTTATTCATCTCAGAAATGAGGGCTCAATGCCCACTGGAGGGTGTCACTAACATGATTGAAATGTGGTTAAGTTATTTTGAAGCCCACAATGATTTGTACTATGTAGCTATAAATAGATGCTCAGGGGGACAGTCTCTTTCCCCAATCCTATTGACTTATAGAGATGTATGTGTAGATTTGAGCTCTGGACCGAGTGAAATATGACTTTGTATTGCAGTTGCTTTCTGCCAAAGATAAAAATCACTTTACATAAAAGAGCCTATTCTCAGTGGTGAAACGGCTCTTTTTG